CGTCCCGATTTAGGCGGGACAGGTCCCGCTGTTCCGTCCGTGGTCCCGCTGTCCCGAAGTCTACTTGTGGGACGGTGTTTTGTCCCTTTTCGGCTCCCCCGAATCGCGAATAGATAAAAGACACGGCTACACGAAAAAATTGCCCCAGTGAACGAGTGTTTTCTCTGAACAATGTACAAGGTCCGCTTGGCAGATGCGATGCTGATACTATGGGCATGTTATCTGCAAAAATAAATACATCAATACTAAAGAAATACTCCATCCAAATGTATTAAATATGCATGGAAATAAATGTGTACGGTTTATACGAGATACTAAAAAGGTATGATTTGTTACCAAGATTTAAAGTTTTCAAACCCCACAACACTTTCCCCTCCCCCCCCCCCCCCCCCCCCCCCCCCCCCCCCAGTACGCGTCCCGCTTTGGGGCCCGAGGAATACGGCCACTTTACGGAAACGGGAAGCACTCTAGTAGGGTCCCCCGATTCTCCTGCTCAGCGGGCACGACGGAACCGCGGGCGATCATGGCTCGTGAAATGTAATTTATGAATGCAAACAACACTCTTCACTATCCCAACGCAGAGCTTTAGTCGGTATGGGGTTGTACCTTACTAGGGAGTTTTATAATGCGTATGAAAGCAAACTCTGTGCGTTTGCGTTAGAGTTGCGTGCCCCACGTTGTGCGTGCGCATCATCGCAATGCGCCAATCCAAGACCGCAATTTCGGGCTCCGCGCACGCGCTAACGCAAACACAAAGGGCTTGCATTCGCTCGTATACGCAATACTAAAACTCACAACTGTTTCACCGGCTACCAACGCCAACGCAACGTGCTGCAGTGAAAAGACATGCAAGCAGGAAAACGTTCCTTCGTGCTGGGAATTTGGAGATCAGGAAATCGACGGCACGTAAAAATTAAAGATATTATGAAGAAACTCATTAAACAAAATATATTTCTTCTTATTTTGGGGTTTTTAATCTGGAAGACTTTTGGGGGCGACTTTTTAAATCTTGCCGATTGTCAAAAGTCGCAATTTTGATAGCAAAATATGCCTTACCCCATTTAATGTAATTTCTCATGGATTTCTCACATTAGCGAGAATGTTTTGATCGACATTATACTTTTTTTTTTATAACTAGGTAATTAAAATGCTGGATTTAGCACCAGTTATGATAATTAGCACACTTTTCATCGCCATACTTGTTCGCGCGATTGAAATTAGATGATAAGCAACATAATACATTAAGGTAGCACTTTGGACCTCTTGGTTCATGATCACCTAAAGAAGCTAAAAAAGTACAAGGACGAGGAAGTAGAAAGACAAGAGCGCACTCGTAACTGAATTTTTATTTGTGAAAATAATCATATATATAGCTTCGAACAAACACATACTCTCTCCTAAGATCTGTTTAACCTCCGTAACAAAAAGGAAAACTCATTCCCCGATAAGGAAAGGGACGTGTCACATGCATTTTTAGCCCTTTGCCCGGGTTTCGAAGGCCTCATGCAGTTCTCTAGAAGCCCGGGTATCTAGCCAGAAACCTGGTGTCGCTAAATGAAGGGACACATGTGCAACGACTGCAGTGAGTGGCAAGACGTCCCGATGGAGTGGCTTTCGTCGCCGCGGCGTGTTCTCGTGCACAATCATTGAAACACCTTCCCGTCTGGCCAATATAAGACGAGCCGCATGACGTTGGAATTTCCTATGCAACACCCGTAATACACTTCGTGTATTTTGTGCGGTGCCTGGTATCACAGGGATCTTTCGATACAATGGCATTGTTGATCCTACGGCACAGCCGCCCCAGCTTATTGGGTACGGTGAGCACCACAGGCACATCGTAGTATGAGGCAACATTCTTAGGATTATGCGGGACTGTGTGCAATTACGGGAAGAAACACGGGCCTCGTCGTATTCCTGTCGCGGGGTTGCCTCTGTAGTCCTTTAATTTTCTTTACCAGGCTCTCTGCCACCTCGTTTAGAGTGGCCTGAGGGAAACCCGCTCTCCTAAGCCTCGCAACCCTTTTATCAAAACTTTCTTATGCACTGTGCCTGCAGGATTGTTTTTTGAGGGCCGCCTCTAGACACATAGAGGCAATACTTCTTTTCACGACTTTCGAATGGGCCGAGCTATTAGGGAGAATGACCTTTCTTGACCTTGGCTTGTACGTCCAGCAAATGTGGTCCTTCAGGAGACTTAACCGAAGATCCAGGAACTGCAACTGTCCCGATTTTGGTTCCTCATGCGTAATGTTTAAGCCACTGCCACAAGTCCTAAACACCTCCAACACTTTCTTCACTTCACATTCTGGTGCGTCAGCCTGATTACTCAGAATAAGGAAGTCATCCACAAATCTGAAAAAATTTTGAACCTGCTTAGAGACCCGTAGCTTCTCTGAGATGGATCTTCCGCACGCACCGAGAAAAATGTTGCACAACACAGATGCCACACAAGAGCTAATACAGATGCCCCCCTTTTGCACAAAGGTATCTCCTTCAAAAGAAACAAATGTGTGCATTAAGTAATAAGTGAGAAGCTCAAGAAAATGGTCAATGTTAATCCCACAGGAACTCTGGAACGGAAGAATACCGTTCCTGTCAATGCACTCTCTTACAGACAAAAACAGGAACCGTGAGGAACTGAATAAAGAAGGTCTTCGACGTCGACAGAGAAAACACTTCGCATTCCCTGCGCACCCTCCCTCAAAAATTCAATTATGCATTCGGAATTTTGCACCATAAATGGGTCGTACAAATCGAGGGCTGTGAAATGTTCACATATAAAGGACGGAACGTGACATTGCCATGAATTCCTTTCCGTAACAATAACCCTGAAGGGGACCCCCACTTTATGAGTTTTTGTTGCAAGGAATATGTTCAGTAGCAGTTTTTTGCTGGCTTTGACACTTTTTAGCAGCTTGGAAAGTTCCATCGCGCTGCACATCTCTATAGCACGGGCTTTAATTTTTGTTAACGATGGTGGACTGACTTGATTGAGGTTCTTCTGTATAGCTTCCTTTGCCTTGGTGCCGTAGAGGGCATCTGGCAGGACCACGAGGCCTCCCTCCTTGACCGCTGTGAGCAGCTTCAGGTTGTTTTCCAAAAAATGGTCAACGATACTGCTGGTCTTGAAGCATTTTGTCCTTCGACCAAGAGAGCGCTGGAGGACCTCGACGCCTTCGGCCACACACCTTGCTCCGTCATCTGGCTTGACCTTATCTCCCATCCATCTCACTAGCGACAGCTTTTTAGCCGGGCGCAGCCGCGGTTCCTGGCAAAACTTCGGGCCGTTTTCGCGGCAAGACTTTATTGGCCTGGGAAGCACCACGTCTCCTAGAACTGTGACTTCTTCTTGCGTTCTTACGCTGCCGCATGTGACTTCTTCTTGCCCTGATATGCTGTGGCAGCGTAAGAGGGCTGCGTTTCGTGATAACATGCTTCACGGCCACCCTCTGGTGGATACACGTTTCATGGACAAGCGTTTCGTCGACATTAACGTTTCATCAAAATTCGTTACGCGAATATCGATAATCCAGCTTTTCCTGAGAATTAAGTTGAGCGAAATCCGGAGTGGCGTAATGCGCAACTCACGTAAAAAATAATAAAAGTTGGTACATGCTCAATATCCAATTGGTATTTTTAGTATTTTTCTTATACAAGCGATAAGTCACTTTTGGTAGATATTTGTAGAAAACAACAAAATATATAAAGGTTGCCCATTCGATTGGGACATATCTGGCCTTATATGGGAGGCCGATATACCTCTATTTGGCAGACCCATATATGGATATATAAAATATTGGCATATCCGGCCAGATATGACTGATGTGCTTTATAAGACCAGATATGCCCAATTTTTCATACATCCATATATTTTTATATAACTTCAGATATGCCATTTTCATAAGGGATTGGTCACTGTGGGTTTCCAGACGCTCCTTTCCCGAGCAATTGATATATCGGGCGAGAAAACGCGAAAATCATTCGAGTAATATCTAGAAAACAACATCTTTAAATTAGTTTGGCCTCTAATATCAATTGTCGTCTATTGAACAATATCAAAATACCCCTAAAACCCACAATCAAAACCTTAATTAACACATATGACTTCATTGGTATTTTCAGCATAAAAAATATTTTCTCACCTAATGAGCAACAAGACTAGTAAATATACCCTGAAGATAGCACTCGTCTAACTCTCGCCCCCTTTTTTTAAGTCTGTTCGAATAAAAACCTAATAGCATGTGTATATTCTGAGAAGGAGTACAACATGAGGTGGGGGTATTCGTTATGTATATTTCCTCAATCTCCTCTCAGACTTGATGCTTACAAACACTGACTGCACATAGTGTAAACATGCTTCTGAGTTTCAGATATCTGCACTACTTAAAAACTCAGTGATCATAAATTATTTCTACAAACATTAAAAGTTCCTTTCTGAATAGGAGTGTTGTTCCTGCTGCCCTAACGGTTCGAATAAAGTTAACCTAGCTTTGAACACACTTTGGAAGACAAATTATATGAAAAAGGTAGACTCCTTAAGCTTTCGCTTGACCCTCTGCATTCTTGTCAAGGTCAATAACCTAGGATTATCTTTTTAGCGCAGGCAGGTATTGCCATTAAATTTTAATACAATTTGACATGCACCTCGACAAAAGTTCATATGCCTGTGTTTGTGCTCTGATGCTATCATTGTATTTTGTCTCTGAAAATTTGCGTCATTGTTAAGAAAACACAAAATAAAACTAAAATATTCTCTAAACACGTGGACAAGAGTCCCTGCTGCTTGGGACGCAGACGTGTTTGTCACCATCTCACGTAAGGTGATATCCATTGTTACAATTTGCTACATACGACGGCCTTTGAGAACAATGTATGCGAAAGCTATTGTCTCCTCGAAGAAAAGTATCTGCTGAACTCAGGCTGTCCCTATGCCAGCAAAGCACTATATATAGCCATCCCAAAATCTTTAACCACATCGTTCACGTCTACCGTCCAAGATGAAGGCAGCCATCGCAGCCCTTTGCTTGCTTGCAGCAGTAGCCTGTGTTATTGCGCTGCTACCTGGTAAGTCTGTTTCCCACGTTATCACGCTTGTATGTTAGTTGTCTTATTAAAATCGTATGCTTAGGTTTGCGATTTCAATCCCCGCTGTCAATCTCTTACAATGGCCCTTATGTTCTTTCGAATCTACATAAAACAACCACACAATTTCTTATAAATGAGCCAAAAGCTGTCTAATTTGAGTAAGGTTTCGCATCCTTTGCAACTGTTCTAATTAATTTGCCTTTCTGGGATCACCGCATTGGCAAGCACTAAGCGAACACTAGTCAAGAGCATGTCAGAAAACACCATTCTTTATGAGTGTTATGCAGCAAATATCGACGTTCTTAGACGTACAGAACCACATCTTTCCCAGGCAGTGCTTCAATACTTCAGAGTTTCATGCAATGTTTCTCTTGGCAACAATTATATTTCCTTCCCCTAGGATAACTGTCCGTCAGTTTGGTGCTTTTTTTCGAAAGCATTCAATGACAAGGTTTAACAGAATGCATAACTGCCTGTTTTACTAGTAAAATATGGTCCCACAAGGATGGCACTATACACCTCACTTTGAATCTTCGACAATTAAAGCACTACTTTTGTAGCGTTCAGAAACTAGAATTTCTCTATCCCGCAAATATAAACCTTCATTGCAAGCTTACGGATGCGCTTTTCGCATTGTTTAGCACAAAATGTCATCATGCGATCAGAATAAAGTGTAATGGTGTAGCGATACAGAAAAAGCGAAACTGCTTTTTCTGTATTGCCATGCTCTGCTCTATTATTGTATTCGTAGTTGTGGTGCAAAACTATCGATAGTACTATCGATAGAATCGATAGTCGCCAGAAATTTGACTATCGATAGTAAAAAAAACTATCGATAGTGCTATCGATAGTCGACTATCGAAAAATTATCGATAGTACTATCGATAGTCGACTATCGGAAAACTATCGATGGTGGACTATCGTAAGACTATCGACAGTACAGTCCACGGTTTACTATCGATAGTTTTCCGACACTAGTAGTTTACGTCGCTCTGTCTTTACTTTATCTCGCTTTATTTTTTCAAATGGGACACGAACTAGCCCAAGCACTTACCATCCCAACTTTGGTTCAGCTTTCAGTGTTGACGAAGACGGGAGTTTAGGCGAAGAGAGGAGGAAGGGAGACGAGCGGCGGTGCGGCAACTGTGTCCGCTCTAGTGCAAAACTATCGATAGTGCTATCGATAGTGTCCATAGTTGCAAAAAATCTGACCATCGATAGTAAAAAAAAACTATCGATAGTACTATCGATAGTGAACTATCGAGAAACTATGGATAATACTCTTTATAGTCGACTATCGGAACACTGTCGATAGTACTATCGATAGTCGACTGTCAAAACGCTATCGATAGTCGACTACCGATAGTTTTGCGACACTATAGATAGTTTTTCCATAACTATCGATAGTATCGATGGTCGATTTATCGATAGTTTTGCATCACTAATTCGTAGATGCTAAATGTTGAAATGACTTGTTTCTATTGTAAGAGATAATTATATCGTTGTGTGATGAAACCATCGCTTGACTGTTTTTTTTTTCGGTGGCGGGACGCAGGAACAAAATGAATTTTTTTTTTCGAAGTTATCGCCAGCGTTTTCAATTCTGCTAAATCCTTTGAATGGCTGCGTCTGTATTTATTTAGAGGGTGGCAAAGCGGCGTATATGTGAAAACCGTTTCATCAACAAAAGAATGTAAAGCACTAAAACACTTCGAATTTTTTGTTTGTTCTTGATAACCACAATAGAACATGAAATTCGATTTATTAATTATCTTTAACGATTTTTCTTTCTCAAAACCCTCTGCAGAAAGCATCTGCAGAGCACCACATCCTGAGTCGCTCTGCACTCCTGATGCTCCAATGAGTTGGACGTGGTACTTTGACAACCGCACTAACGACTGTCAGAAACACGAAAGATGTAGCAGAGGTTACAATGACTTTGGAAGCAAGGAATGCTGCATAGATTCCTGTCCATACGGTACGTTTGTCGATTGTTTTCTTGCTGATATTTAAGATGCGAGAGAAGCTACTTCCTAAGCAGTTTCTTTTATTTCTGGTGAACCTTTCTTACCTTCTGTTTCGCAAACAAAGACTGTAATTACGCAGATTTTTATACTCCCACTAAGTAGCCTCAACTCAGAATCGCTATCATAAAATTAACTTGAGCAGGGTTTCTAAAATTAAACTTTGTATCACAGTTTGTGTTTCTTCCATCTCCATATAAAACTGTCGCTGATTTTTCATACAATTCAAGTTAAGCAACTATACTTATAAAGGGAGAGTTGAACAGGAAAAGCGCGATATTTAAATTAAGAACCATTCGAGATGTTGGCATAAAATAGAGAACACAGCTTTTAGATTGTATCTGACTCTTAAAGTGCTTGACAGCTCCGAGGCGTGCCTAGTCCCAATCACCATACTGGGCACCAGAGCCAATATTATAATACCATCAGCAGACAAGAACTCCGAAGAAGAAACCATTACGCAAGTAGTGTGATCATAATAAGCCAAGCCCTTGAGCTTGTTTCAGTTGTCAGGCGAATTAGGGGATTCGATATTGTGGTATACGCACCTTAACATTGTGCTCAGATTTAGGCATTAGTGGAAAAATAAACATTGTTGTAAGATATTTATTAGAAAAGGCGCTAAATTAAATTTTAAAAGTGCTCATACACCGATGTATGTACATTCTTCGCAAACCAAAAATATATCCGCAATGTTTGTTTTATGTGTGCTTGTAGCAAAGAATGTTAAGAACAATGCTTAAAACATTTTCGTGTTTATACGCTTGCTGGTCTTTTCAAATGAAATCCCCATCGACGATTATTTAAGAATACAAAATATCACTCAGCACGAACGACGCCCGAAGGATATCATGTTGAGATCCAAGCCCAAGTTTGATGATATACAGTAGATTAAATGATAGATCAATTTAGCGAAATTAGCCATTCTTAAGTACCCTCTGCTTAGTACATTATTTCTTTCATTTGAGATTGAATAATGAGTAGCTAGAACAATTATCTGGTTACTATATTGATATCAACCTGTGTTATTTTAATGTGTGCAGGAAAACACCACCCACCCGGGCAAGCCAGAAAATGGTAAATATTATGTATAACTAAAAATCTGATTCTATCTACCATGTCGGCCTTTGATGACTAGGATTCAAAAAGAGGAACAGTATGTGAATTTATGTTTAGACAGGGTGACATTAAACTGGTTTAGTTTGGATGACCTTAGTCTACGAGTTTGTGGGGAGTTGAATCGTTCGGCGTAGTGTCCTAAGCAGGCTTTTACATTTAACACGCATCACAAAATTACATGCAAGCGAACTAGTAACGCAGCTTTCCAGATGTAAAAAAAGGCTCATTTGGTATTCGATCGCTTAATTATTTTGCCTAGGTTGAAAATTGTGCTCAACCTTATCAAGCTTTAATGAACAAGTCACGGCCTCCGAATGCTCTAGACTACGGCGCAGGAGAGCGTGTGAAGTTCATCCTTTTCATTAATATTAATAACAACAATAATGCAATAATAAGAATACTAATAATAATAAAGTTAATACTATTAATAATATTATTATTTTAGAAAATATTCTTTATTTTCGCGTGCCCAAAAACCACCCGGAGGTCTTCACTTCGGTGCAAAAAGAACGTGACAAGGATGACGATCTTATGGTGTTGAGATAAAAACTGGAGTGATTCCTAGTCAAACGGGACGGGAAAGAACGTGAATATTAAGGTTGGATAATAGCGAATCATTTCCTATAATTCCAGTTACTACATTGTTCAAAAAAATGAAATCATGTTCTGTTCTTGTCAGGCACTGGCCTGAGCAAGAGCTTATCTAGAACAAAGTTGTAATAAAAACAAAAGTGGCGCGTAAGATATCAGTCGTAAACGATGCGTACTAAGCGGTTTTGCACACTTCCAATTTTTGGGGAGTGCGTTCCAGACAAAGGATTCTAAGCTGCAGAACCAAGTTCCAGCCTTGACGTAAAAAGAAAGCGATATAAAATTCATAATGCAGGCAGGGTTTTTAAATTGCTGAATCATGCGAGGTATCAGTCCCAACATCTATGTCGCGCTGCCCATGATCGTCACATGCGAAGTAAACGTCAGTTCACTATCTATACAAACGCCAAGACCTCTTACAACAGACTTGCGTTTCATTGAAATTTACTTAATACATAATGGTTATATAATACATTCCAACGTCTGTAAAGGAACAGGACATATGTTTTCTGAGGGTTCAGTTTCGAGCTACTCACAATACACTGCTGAGCTATGCGCGACACATCATACTGTGGAGTTTCGCAGGCGATAAAAAGCTTAATGCCATCTGTTAAAGTAAGTTTTGAATAAAGTTACCTCACTACTCGTCACGTTGCTGTTGTCGCTGTCCTTCGAGTGACATGGGTGAAGGACTTACGTTATTTTATCAAAGAAATCCAAACATTGAAAAATTTAAGTGTTATTTTGTCACCGGTACATTTCAACTTTTAACTTATATTTATGAAATATTATACCATACGAAGCAAAATATATCCCCTCTTACAAAGTTCTCCTCTTTACAATGGGAAATTTTCCAATTTATTGCTCGCTTTTTACGCATGAAATTTGTCAGCTTCCATATAATGTGCATCTACCGTGTGTACCATAAGGCTTCGATACCAGTATGGGTGGCCCTCAAAATCAGTTTTTCAACGCATTGCACTGGGATTTAGAACGAAGGTTTTCTAAGGCAGACAACAATTGAGAGTATAAATACATAAACGCTTCGTAGTCAAAGAAGAAAAATTGGTTTAGTCTATAGAAAGATTATCGTCAAGGCTGCTTTTTTCCTTAAAATTATCACAAAAACGTTCCTGGCTGTACTGTCGTTTATGACAGCTGAACAATGGCTGGAATAAAAAAAAAAAGAAACAATTGGCTTAACTATAATTTCCCCCATTTGGCCGAAACAAGCACCTCAAAGACAAAATATTATTTAGGTACAAGCAAGTATAAGCAAAGTATGAGGAAAATATATTTTTTGTCTTCGAATTTGCGTCAATTAATCAGGAAAGCCAGTCTTACCATAATTTTAGTTCGAGCTTCTAGCACCTGGGACACCTGTGTAGTAAATCCTAGCACAATAAGTTGAGGAGCCGATTTATGTGGATCGTTCAAAATAGGATGAAAGTGTTAGTCCACACGCTGTACAATTGTCGTATACACTCGGCATGCAAGAATATTCGAAAACATTTTCGAGAAAAGCAGGAACATCTTAGGTAATTCAGTTCATGAACGAGTATGCACGGATTTGAGTGAATTGAACAAGTCTAAGGCTTCAGTCTTTTGGGATTTTAAATCAATTGTTAACTTTCAGAGAGAAAACTGTAGTCGACAGCGTGGCCGGAACCCGGAGCAAGGCCCGCTTTTGCCCCTTCAAGAAAGATATCAACAAGGCGCCTTCATGTTTCTGAATAAAGTTGTGCATTAAAAATATTTCCGTAATTTTTGTTCTCTAGTTTTAAACCGTTTTGAAAACAAACTTTGAAATACGGACTGTTGTAGTGCTTTTCTTGCTGTTTATGCTTCTCTGCAGCACCATAGTTAATTATTTCAATATATATAGTATTATTAAACCTCAGAAACGCCTCTGTCTGTCGTATGAACTATTCAAAAAACCCTCTTTCTATTATAAGTTAACACGTAAGCCACAGAACAAAAAATTTGATTCTCAGAAAATAATGCAATGTTAAAGATATTCTAAAAATACCGAAATTAATTTCAATTGTTTTGGCATCCTGGGGCAGCCAGTCTTAGTCAGGCAGCTCTAAAGTCTTGTTCACACATTTTCGTTTGAGTGTGGGCTGCAACGGCTTGTTAATACTTTTTGACGAGAGAGCACAATGACCACCCGTTGTGTACCCGTGGAACCCTTCCCGAATGCGCGTCGTTCTTCCATCAATAAGAAAGTGGAATTATTTTCACCCACCATTTTTCATGGATAGGAGGAAGCTATGATATCTGAAATACTGCAAGTGAACCAGTTATTCATTCATTTCAAATATTCCAGAGTTACCTAATAGATGACGACAGTATGCCAGTGCCTCCTCGTCAAAGGCATCGTTTCCTCGATCGCATAGGAACAAATATGTAGTAAAGCACGAATTTTTTTCTTATGGTGACGTTTTCCTTGACATGTTTTTATTGTGTATATTGTTTTGATGGGCCGTCAAAATATATACAGGATTTTGCTTTCAATTTCAACGTATAACTTTTTTTTAAAAAAACCGGTGTCTAAAAGTTAGGTGCATTCTGTGTCCACCAGGTAATTATCAGGCGGCGGACGTAAGATTAGGGTATAATCGGCATATTAAGTTGAATAACTATATTTAAGAAAAATAATTAAGTTTTTAATTACTGATTTTAAGTGACATGTTGGAAGTCCAGAATTGACGTCATTTACTATTAGAAGCCTCGCCGATTAAAAAAAATTGCGACAAGGTAACGGTTTTTAAACGATATAACGTGATGACATTTGGTGTTTTGTCGCCCGAAAAAAACGCGATACTCTTTTCTCCCGTTTTTGTTTCCGAAATCTATTTTGTGCAAAAAATGTCACCGGAAGCCCGGTTCATTATAGCTAGGGTTCAGCGTTTTCGGTTTTTATATTTTCGAAATTCGGCGTACTTTTTTCGGTGTTTATTTTAAAATTAAATTTTCGGTTTTTTTCGGCGTATATTTATTCCCACACCAGTTTACCGGCTTCTTTCGGTAAATATAAAAGAAGCACAATCGGACACCGGATCAGATGATTCTTGTAGCTGCGATATTTGCAATCATTCAAAGAATAACGACGCACATCCATACGTAGTCCTCGCTACAACTTCCGTCAGGACACACCTCAAAATCGCGGAATTCGTGGCCATAATCTTCAGTGCGCTTATTTTTCCTTCCCATTCTGACGACGCGACCGTCTGATGTGATGCCCGTACAAAAACCAGCGGAATGTAAAAAAAAAAAAATATCCATCGAGTTTATGTTTTTAACAAAAGGGAAGTTTGAGAGAGCGTGTTAAGAAATGTATTGACGGCTTTTCTTGATGTCCTCTGGAGTGCATGAAGAGAAAAACCTTATACTAGCCCAGATCCAAACTTTTTTGTTTTTTTTTTTTCGAGACCGGAACTTGACACACTAAGCCCAATCACAGAAAAGACATAGATGTCCCGCGAAAGCCAATCCACGACCTCTTGTGTTGCATGTTGAACCTTGGAAGAGGGCAATCACGAGGACGTCACATAATGTCGAACCTCGCAAAGCTCTCTCTCTTTCTCGCTCCCCCACCCACCTCAACGCGGCCCTAAAAAACTGAGCTGTTTCGGTTAAAACCGAATTCTAGAAAACGGATTAGACGTACTTTTATCGGTTTAAACGGAAAACACCGAACCTGCAAACTGACCTTTTTCGGTTAAAACCGAATTTCCGAAAATGAATTCGGCGTACTTTTATCGGTTTTTATCGGTTTAAACCAAAAACTCCGAACCCTAATTATAGCGCTCAAAACGGGTCGTCATCCCTTTAATCATGTCGTCACTATCTTGGCAGCGTGTCCTAGGTGGCTCCAGCGACAACAAAAGTGAAGACATGACCTACAGAACTGCGTCACTTTTTAACCGTTATTGTGGGCAGAGTTCCTGGTGATATTTTTGCGAGCAATTTTTAGACAAAGCGGGAAAACGCGAAGTTCATTCGATTAATATCTAAAAAACCAATGCCCTTTTGAAAAGTATTTAAATTTGCCTGGCCTCTAATAGTAATTGCCGTCTATACTGCAATATGAATATGACACAAAAAAAGGAATGAAAAGTTAATTAACACATTTCACTTAATTAGTATATATTTAGCACAAAAAGCGTTCCCTTATCTAATAACCTTCAAGCCAGTAAAAGCTACCTGAAGACAGCACTCGTCTAACCTTCACGCCAGTCTTTTTAAATATGTCTGAGTAAATATCAAACACTTGATATTCCTTCTGAACAGGAGTACAAAAGGAGATGTATTCGATGTGTATATTCCTTCAGTTTTGCCTCAGACCTTGATGCTTATAAGCACTGA